TGCGGCTGCGGCTGTGAGCCAGAGCTTGTTGAGGCAGGAGGAGGTGCGATGAGCTCTTCAAAGGGCACGTTGTACTTGCGCGCCATGGCGGCCTCGAATTCGAGCGTCGAGTTAAGCGCCTCCATGAGGGTGGCGACGTTGAGGCGGGACTGTTCGCGGATGAGGACGCTGCGGAGGTCCTCCTTTGTGACGTCGGCGAACTTGCGGATGAGCCACCTCTCTGCATGCCAGTGGTCGAGGAAGGCGGGTGCGTGCTCGTCTTCGTGGATCTTGAGGATGCGGCGAAACCAGGCGAAGCGTCGCGAAACGTTGTCGAGCTGACCGGCCTCGTCGGTGGCGCGAAAGATGCGACGATACTCGCGGAGCTGAAGCGAGCAGTACCAGTCGATAAGGGACGCTTTGGCGTCCGGGCCGATGGCATCGATGACGAGTGCCGATTCAGGCAGGCTGGTGGAGCGGACGGGACGATTGGGGTCGTGGAGGAAGAAGTTTTCGAAGTCCTTTGTGATGTTGGTGCGGAGGGTAGACTGGAGCTCGTTGACTTGTTTGTAGGCGGAAGCGATGCGTTCCACGCCGCGGTATGCCTGGAAGAAGTCGAGGAGGGAGCGTACGGCCTGGAGGGACGATGCGGCCTCGCGGTAGCGTTTGGACTCGGCGAGACGCTGGAGCTGGTCGACGCCGTTGACGAGCATCTGGAGGCGCTTGAGTGCGGTCATGCTGGAGACGACATTGCGCTTTGCAATGTCGAGGTTGCGGATGTCGCGAGTGATCTCCTTGACGACGTTTTCGGACTCGCGCGCCTTTTCTCGGATGAGGAGGAGCTGTTCGAGGAGGGCGGCGATGGCGTTTTGAACGTGGGACATGCGGTCTTGGTCGATCTCGGTCTCAAGCTCGGCGGTGAGCTGAGAGATGCGGTCTCGGCATGACTGGATCTGCAGTCGAAGCACTGCCTGCACACGGTCGATAGCAGCCAGACTGATGGGTTCATCCTTAGGGAGCGACTGGGCAAGCAGTGAATCGAGCTGGGCTGCAAGCGAAGAGCGGTCTGACAAGCTGAAAGAGGATGGCAGCGACTGTGTCGAGGACCCGGACGATGTCTGCTGCGCCGAGGGCTTGGAGAGGATCTGGTCGATCTGAAGAGCAAGGTCGTGCGGCAGCTCTGGGGTGAGCTGTTTCGACGGGGGCCGGGGCGGTTGCAGCTGATGGGTGGCCGCATCTTTGGGCGCCGGAGCGGGCGAGAGTGCGGCCATGACTTTGAGTCCAGGCCAGTGCCAGCAAGTCGTGGAGCTGAGAAGACGGTGGTGGTCGAAGTCTTGGTGGTGTTGAGCGGCTCGTGCGGTGGAGGCAGTCGAGTGTAACACGCCTTCCAGCTCGGCTCGGCGGCCAAAATTCGAATGATGTTAGGCCGCCTTAGTGAGTTGGTGCACGTGACCCTCTCGCGCCAAGCTCAGAGCTGACTGCAATTCAACACCGATGGAGGCTGAGCGGCTGGGTGGAGGCGCGTTGCCGTATTTACAGGCAGAAGCACCGAGACCCTGCAAAGGGTGTTGGACTTTGATGGCCGCCGTGCACAGTTTGTGGAGGCAGATCAAGCTACTTCTCACCTCCATCATCCACCTCACATCATCAGACGACGGCTAGGCTCGGCGTACCAGCCTGTAGCGTCAGGCACCGCCGTCATGTCGCAACGTCCGCTTCCTACGGGTGCGCCAACCGCAATGATCAGCGTCGTCCGACGCCCACTCGCTCCCAGCGCTCGATCCAACATCGCCACGGTCACAGCATCCACTGCAGCAGCTCAGCCCGCAAAGGCACAGATCAAGCTCGAAGACCGCCTCTCCAAAGCCGAGGCAAAGATCCAAGACCTGCAGCGCGAAAAGGATACTGCGCACAACCAGCTCGGCGACCTGCAGACCGAGCTCCGTCTCGCCGCCCAGCGCGAAGCCAAGCTCAAGCACGGCATCGAGAAGTGGGAAAAGGCGCACACATCGCTCAAGGAAAAGAGCAGCAAACTTTCCGACCTCCAGGCGCGTCTCGCAGAGCTGCACAAGGTCCATGAGGAGTCCAAGGCCCGCCGACAGAGCGAGATCGATGACCTTACCGAAAGGCTCCGCAAGGAACAGGACAGGCGCAAGCACGAGCTCAACGAAGCGCGTCAGTCTACCGCCACAGAAAGCGCAAAGTGGCAGCAATACCAGACCAAGTGCTCCGCCCTCCAGGCCGAACTCGACTCGCTCAAACTGCAAGGCACCGCGTCGCACGACCTGGTGGCCCAAAAGCAGAAGCAGATCGACGAGCTTCAGGCAGAGCGCGATTCGGACAGGGTGATCCTGATCGATTCGCAAAAATACGCGCGCAAGATCGAGAACGAGTTCAATGCACGCATCGAGGAGCTTCAGACCCAGCTGGACGCCAAGACGGACGAGGTGGAACGCCGCGCTAGTGAGCAACAGGCCACAGCGGAGCAGGAGCGATCCGAGCTGCACGACGAGCTCGAAGAGCTGCAGCTCGAGCTCGAGCAGACCGAGCACCAGTATGCGCACAATCTTCGCGTGATCGCAAAGGCGGTGGCGCAGCAGATCGATACCGTCAAGCTCGACTCTCGCGCAGAGACGCACTCATGGGTGGCAAGGTGGCACCGCGCCGCCTCGGAGCAAATCCAACTCGAGTCGCTTTCCGACGAGCGCGCAGCTCAGATTCACGAGCTGGTGGCCGTCGTCAAGCAGGTTCAGGACGACCGCGATGCTGCCAAGCGTCTCGCCACCTCGCTCCACGCCGATCTCGTCAGCATCACAACAGAGCTCCACGCCGAACGTCACCTCGCTGATACGCTCATCGCACAGCAGCTCGAGGATCAGCGACAGCGTCACAGCACGCAGCAGACATCGTCAAGCGATGCAGACTCGGAAGGCGAGGTGGACGCAGGCGACATGTCGTCCGCACTGCTGCGGGTGCAGCTCGACGACGTCCAGTCGCACAATGCCCTGCTTCAGCAAGAGGCGAGTGAGCTGCAGCAGCTCGTCCTGTCTCGCTCCAACGACGCCAAGCAAGCCGAGGAAGCGCTCGCAGCCGTTCGCGCACAAGTCTCAACACTCGAGACCTCGGTGGCTGCCAAGACGCGCGAGGTGGACAACCTCGTCTCGCAGCTCGCCGAGCTCGAGCCTCTGCGTCGTCGACTTGCGGGCGCGTTGGAAGAGGCAGCAGCGGCCAAGAAGGAGGCACAGGCGCAGACCGAGGCCGCACGATCCATCGCTGCGTCCTTGCAGAACGCACGCGTGGCCGAGGAGGCATGGCGCGACGAGCGCGATCGTATGGCGTCGCTCCTCGACCACGCCGAGCACTACGAAGCGCTCTACCACGAGCTCGCCGAACAGGCCAAACATCTCGTCGAGCGCAACGCACTGGCCGAGCAGGAGAAAGCCACGCTGTCGGCGCTCAATGCCGAACTGCTCGGACACAACAACCCCAACCAGAAGATCATGTACATGGATCGCATTCGACACGAGCTCGACGACGCCAGGCGCGACAGCGTCGGCCTCCGCATGCACATCGAGCGCCTCGAGCACGAGAATGCGCAGCTCAGCCGCGAGCTGGCCAGCTTCAGGGCGGTCGATGTGCCGCTGAGCCAGCGACCCAGGACCGAAGTCACGCGCGTGCTTAGGGCGTCCGCCGATCCCGCACAGCTGCTGCGCAAGGTTTCGGCTGCAGCTGCGACCCCAGCAGCCAAGGTGGAACTGCCCAGGGCGGAGCAGCGTGTCTCGACGCCGGTCAGGACGAACTTTGCGCCGGCTGCCAACGCGACACCCTTCTCCGCTGCACGGCCAAGATTCAGCGCACAGCCTTTGCTACCGGAAGTGCAAAAGGCAGTGGAGGCAGCGCCCAAGCATGCGCGCAAGCCAGAGGTGGAGGAGGCGCCGCAGCGGGTAGCAGAGCCGCTTGCACATCCGCCACTGCCTGTGCACACGGGGCTTTCCACCAAGAAGCGCCGCTCGTACGGAAACCTGTCTGTCCACGCGATCGAGGCTGACGATGCAGCGGCGGAAGAGGCTGAACACCAGCAGATGATGGACGACGACACGCTGCTTGCCAATGCGGTCGAGAACGAGGCAGAGGTGGCTGTCAAGAGGGCTGCGAAGCGCAATGCGCCGCGGGCGACGCTGGTCAACAGCGGGGCGCTGCGCCGTGGCGCACCCTCGATTTCTGCCCCTGCTCCTGCTCCTGCTCCTGGGGCTGCTGCGGCGCACGTGGACAGCATGGCTGCTGCGAGTGGCGGTGTGGTGCGGAGGCCGAGTCTGGCCACGTCGTCGCTGGGGATCAAGGCGCGGCGTGTGTCGGAGATCGTGCGTGCGTCGACGCCTCCGCTGGGATCGATCGCCGACTTCTCCGGCATCGACACACCGGGAGGAGCAATGCTGCTTGATGCTGCGCTACCCTCGCCCTCGCCGTACGGGCTTGCGGACTGGACCGCGACGGATGAGACCTCGCACGTGCCCGCACTCACCGCGCACTTTGGGTCAATTGCCCACTCGACTCCACTGCCGGCCAAGGCGGGGCGTAGGGCCAAGTCGCGCTACTCGGGTGCACAGCGCGTAGCTCTTGCACCGGAGACAACGCCGCGTGCCAAACCGAGCCTGCTTCCACCACAGGCAAAGAACCAGCTGCTGGCAGTGTACGAATCCGACGCTGTGGAAAGCCCGGTGTATGAGCGCGAACACGACTCGTTCCGAAACGGATGGCTCGACGACGATATCCCCGACCTGCCCGATTTCACCATCGACCAAGCCAAGCCAGCCCCAGCACAGACTGCCAACGCGAAGGGCAAAAAGGTCAAGCCAAGAGCATCGAGCAAGCTCGTCAAGCCAGGTCCAATGGCCCGCACTTTCTTCCGCTAGCAATACCCTGCGCTTCCCGGACCTCATGTGGTTCCCGAATCGTACTTTGATACCACGATACACACGACGGCGTGCAGTTTGAATGTGACGAGCTCGAGTGCTGCGAGGCTAAAGATGAGTTTGGCGCGAGACATAGGTGGGTGGAAGGTCGTAGATGTCGTGCATGGACTGGCGCAACTTCTCCTGGTCCTCGAACAGATGAGTGTGCGCACTGGGGCTCATATCGACATGCAGCACGTTTTGATGTGAATCTGTTTCACCAATTGAATCAGTTTCTAGTCCTCGACGCGCACATGTGGGCTCGCACTTACCTGTGACGTTGGCAATGTCATCCAGCTCGGGCGTGTTGCGCAGATTGGTGGCGATAAACACGGCATAGACGGCGAGTACGGCGAACAGCGACCATGCGGGCAGCAGGAATGCCCACTCGCGGTTCGGGTACCAAGTGATGCCCATCGCGAGCAGCACGCTGTCCGGCAGGAGCGCCCACAGCACCCATCCGATCCACAGCACCGTGGCAAAGATGAAGAGCGCAAAGCCATAGTACTCTCCGGACGACGGTGTTGTGCGTGCTACAGATGCGCCCTCTGCCGGGCCAACAGCTCGAAAGGAATCCGCGGGCAAGCCTTTTTCGTCGGCCCACGCCGCGTCTGCCGGGCCGGTCTGCTCGTGCACATCCACTGCTCGCGCGTTGGAAGCGCCCAGCTCATCCGGAACCGGAAGCGCACTCAGGCTGTGCAGCTGGAGTGTGAAGGGTCCGCTCTGCGCCTGGAAGTTGCTGCGTGCCATGAGGCTCCACTCGTACGTCTCCTCGGGTTTGAACTCGCCCGCGGTATCCGGATCCACAGGCCTACCGCGGTACATGGGCTTGAAATCGTCCCAAGTCGAGTCGAAGACCCAAAAGTCGTCGTTGGTGAGCTGCGCATTGAGCCTGTCATCTTGCACGCCGTCTTGCTGCGGGATGGCAAAGCTCCACTCCCACACGACGACGCTCTCCCTCCTGCCATCCGGGCGCTTGGGTGGTTCCTGCGTCTTGATTTCGAGCACGAACGACGTCACGGGCGCCTTGCCGCCGCCTGGAATCGATCCGTCCGAGGGTGGATGGGAGGGCTCGGTCCAGCTGGGCTGCTTGCGCACGACGATGCGCAGGCCCTGGAAGCGCTCCTTGGCAAGCGGGACGGGGAAGCGTTTGGAGGAGGCCTGGGAGGCGAATCCAGCGCCACCGAGGGTTGTGGTGTCGAGGAAGCCGGAGAAAATGATCTCGCCACGGCTGTTGGGCGGGTACTGGACGATGCCCATGTGCGAGTGGCTCCCGCCCCCGCGCC